GGTTCGGTCCCCCCCCCCACGTCCCTGTCCCGAACCCCGGGCTGCGGGCAGCCGGCATTGCTCCCGCTGCACCGATGTCTCCGCACTCTTGTGCCCGGGGTGGGGGGAGATTCAAGTGCCCCTCTGCAGGGCTGAAAGGTGAAGAAGAGCCCGGGCATCCTTCCTCACCCCGCAGGAGGGACAGGGACCGCCATCCTCCCCACGTCCTGGGATGCTTTCCTAAGTGTGCCTTTCTCTTTGACTTGCAGGTGGAGATTTCTTGCCCTGGGAGTGAGATGAATGGGGCTTGGTCAGACAAAGGGTCCCAGTCAGCATTTCAGACCCTGAGACGCGTCCAGGGACTTCTCATTCTTTGTCTGAAAGGGCGCCGGTGCCGTTTCCATGAGAGAGATGCTTGCGAGAGCCGGTGCCGCCGAGCGGAAAGGCGAGCGAGAAGAGCTGCGTCAGCTGATCGGCTTTCAAATCACCTTCAAACCCTCGATTTCCTTAACATGATCCCTCCATCAGCCGAGTCTCCGGGGCACGACCAGGGGGCTTTGCCAGGAGGAGAATAAACCAGGGGCGGCGGTGACAGCCAGCGCTGGAGAAACCCCCCCATTGCACGGTGTCGGGGTGGAGGGGGCTCAAAATCCGACCCCCGCTGCCTTCCCCAGCACTCCTGGACTTTTTAGGGTCGGGCAATAGCTTTGCACAGCTTCATCCTGCAGCCCCCCCTGTGCTTTTGGGGTACCCGTCTGCTCCCCCGGAGCCACTTCCAGCCCCGGGGCGAGGGGGAAAAAAAACCCCCCCCTTGGGCCATCCCTGGGGCCAGAGAGCAGCTCCCCCGCGGCGCTGGCTGCCGGGGAAGGGATGAAGAGGCTATGGCCAAATTATTGGTAAAACTCCAGCGGTATTTTCGGCGAAAACCTGTGCGTTTCTTCACGCTGCTGGCTCTCTACCTGGCAGCCGGCAGCTTGGTTTTCCTGCACTCGGGCTTTACCAGGGAGCCGACGGTGACGGGGAGCCAACGCGGTCCTGGGGCCGGGGGACCAGGGCTGCCCTACCTGGGGGTGATGCAGCTGAGCCGCGGCTTCAAGGCGGCGGTGACGATGCCGGAGGGGGGACGGCGGCATGGCCCCTGGTTCAA